TTAACAGAGATTTTTTTTTTCTTGATTGTTTTCCGTCGATCGTATTTTCTGTGCTGAGTTTACTGCGGTTTTACTTAAATTTGAGTTGTTTAAACTCAAGCTTTGGGTAAGTTTCATTTTCTGTGTACTCTGAGACTGGGTAGACGGTACCCATTCTTATGTGCAGTAAGGAGTTGGCAGAATCTGAGTAAACCAGTTTTATTACGATGAGTAAAATGTACCAAAATTCTGAGGAAATGGTTATAATCGCATGTTTAGAATGGTGCAGGTATAAGAGGGAGATTTTTGCGGTGTCCAAATATCCTACAATACTGTGGACCCCCGCTTATCTGAATGACACTTCGTGCATATTATCGGGGTTTATTATTATTTTGAACTTCTTGTAACCCTATGACCATTAGAAATTTGAGTTTCTGGTTGCCTTAGTTGCGGTTTTGTTTTGATTCTGCATTCCATCGTTTCATTCCGTTTTTTATTACGCAATTACAGCGGAAGCGGAACGGCAGCGCGAAAAGCGGAAAAGCCCAATCTGAGTAAGCCTACAAAATGTACTCCGGCTAGGCATCTTGATGTCATTTGTGACAACTGCCAAACTGCTCATAAAGACGATAATAAATAAAAACTGAAAATGTTCATGCATTTCCAAATGGTTTCCTACCATTCCCATATATTCGAAAGTGACTGGCCCTCTGGATGTGGATGATGTCAAAAACAACAAAACATGATTAATTGAGTACATGGGACTTTACTTACTTTTGGCTTCCCACATAGTACCTAGTTGGGTGAAATAAACTTTTTTCCTTGATTTGTTTTCCGTACTGAATACCAATGCTACTGACGCCCGGGAAGCAGCTTCCACACCCACACGAAACGAAAATCAATTATTTAATTCATGCGTTTCACTTATACATTTTTTCCAAAGCATCAGCCTTATACATTCCATAAGACAAACCACATAGGTCCTATTAGAATGCATGAAAGGTATGTGTGACCGCTTATACATTTCATTTGACACATGATCTTTATTAACTTTGTGCAAGGCGTCTGCTTATTAGTTGACTTATACATTTTATGAATAATCAGCAATGGAAATTTGCCAAAAGGTATAAGGAGATTTCTATTCGTGCACCCTTCGTGATCAGATATTTTTTACCTCAGAAAATCCCGGCGGCGCTTGAGATATAAACTTAATTTTGACTATTTTTTCTTACCGTGTGGTTAAATTTTACTCAACAGTGAGTTGTTTTTGATAGCCTTGTTACGCTCAATTTACAGTGTACTAGTCACCTTTCGCGTCACTAGAGCCGCTAGTATCGGGAAAAATCGTGTCTTGGGGATATTTGAAGAGTGAACCATATTGTTAATTTATAATATTTGCTATTTCCCTTCCATATTTCTTGCCGTGGCTTCCCTTAATTTTTGCGTGAAGTGTGGTTTTCGGAATATTGTACCTTTTCTGTGCCTAATACGCGGTAAGTGATTTATTTCTTGCTAAAAGAACAGCCTCTTGAAAATTTTCGACCGTATAACTCTTTTCTTTAGCCATTTTTTCAATCGAAGAAACTGATCACTCGGCCAAAACGAAATCGAATTTAAAATCAGCTGCACATGAAGGATGTAGACAAACCGAAGCGCACCTAGCGGCCGTCTTAGGAAACACATAGGTCTAACCATCATCATGCGTAGGTCCAACCATGATTATATTTATCTATTCGAGTTTCGTCAATTATTCAAACATTTTAGTGTAACCAATGGATAAATGGCCTACTAACGTGTTATTTACACCTTAAAGCAGTATTTTACTGCATGAAAATAAAAATAAATGTAAAAAATATTCCTTTTTGGTATGTTTGAAAGTAAGGCATGATGACGAGCAAATGTGTGGAAAGTGAACTGTTTTGAAAACACATTGAAACTCAATTGTTTTGAAGTTTTTTTTCTATAAAACACCCATGCAAATTGAAGAAAAAGAGTTTTTATATGATAGTAAAGTGGTCTTTGAAAAAAAAAAATAGCGAAGATTGATTAAACTAGCAATTGAAAAAATAGGTCCAACCATCATCAGTTTTTCGATAGGTCCAACCAGAATCAATTACCCTAATGAGATTTTGACGAAAGTTTTTTTGAGGATCAAGCTATCAGTGACTATGTGAATGCGAAAGCCTGTCAATGACAATGACAAATCTTAGCACTGCACAGTGGTTGAAAAGTCCATTTTGACGATCTTAATTAATAACACCATGGAGAGTGGATTTAGAGTAATGCTGTCTTCAGCAAAGTTGATGAGTATGACATGCTTCATCTTTTGAAGGCATGGGTTTTGTGATTAATCCCACTAAAAGTGAAATGAAATGTTTATTTTTTCACAATGTCCAGATAAATGGTTGACGTCTTGAGAATTGTAAAAGTTGTAAAGTTGTAGCAAAAATAGTTACAAACAGTTTTGCTCAAGACATCATAGCCGTAAATTTCACTCAAATTGAGATAGAGAGCGTTGTTTGAGGATGGACCCCTAAAAACACGTTTTTCATGAAAACACATATTTTCTATAATTTTATATTCATAAGGTATTAATACATGGATCAGCCGTGATTGAAAATTTCCTTGTTCCAATCGGTCAGCTTTCTGAGGAAACACAAGAGGCAAGGAACAAGGATTGGAAGAGGTACATGTATTTAACCAAAATAACAACGAATAAATTGATAAAACTTTTATTTAACAGATACCGAGAGTCCAATAAAGCAATCAAGATCGCTTACAAATCGTGGTCTATTGAACTGGCTTCTAGTATCATCAGATCCATTTATTACTAGCATTCGTGGATGGCCTAAAAAGCACGAGAAGCCATTGTCGAGCGTTGCTAAACAGCTGCTAGCAGAAGAAGCTTAAGGAAACGATAATTATTATATTAATGGTTATGATTATGATAATAATGATGGTAATTGAATACGATACACAATATTGATAACAAAAATACAAACCCAATCAAACAAAAAGAAAATCCAGAAAAATATTGATGTTGATTATCTTTTTATACTGGTTATATCATAAAACAGAGTAAAGATATGGATACTTGTTTTGATCATAACTCCCCAGCAGACGGTCGTGGACGGACAAGTTTACCACCATTTGAAAGCTCTTTTAATGTAGTTTTAGGTGCATTTGACTTCTTCTGCACCTTCTTGCACCTAAGAAAGATACGCAAGTCTGAAATACGTGGAAAATATGAGAAAATTTATCAATAATTCATCCTATTAAAATGATGCAAGTATAGTATATTCTAGAAAGATGTGTATACCATGGTATTTAGTATACCAATTAACTTTGTTAAACATAGTGAAGACCTCAAATTAAAAAAAAAATATGTGCTTTCATGAAAAACGTGTTTTTAGGGGTCCATCCTCAAACAACGCTCTCTATCTCAATTTGAGTGAAATTTACGGCTATCATGTCTTGAGCAAAGTTGTTTGTAACTACTTTTGCTACAACTTTACAACTTTTAAAACTCTCAAGACGTCAACCATTTATCTCGACATTGTGAAAAAATAAACTTTTCATTTAACTTTTAGGGGCATTAATCACATCAACATACTCATCAACTTTGCTTAAGAAATATTTGCTCTAAATCCACTCTTTAAAATTAAGAGCGTCAAAATGGACTTTTCAACCACTGTGCACTGCTTAGAGCCCTTGCACCACCTCTAGGTAAATGTTAACGAAAAAAGCTAAAATTTTGAACTGTTACTTAATTAGTCCCAAAAACCATTTTCCACATCGAAAAACATGTTCTCGAACGATCAGGGGTTGAAACAGTCGACGTTTTTTACTACACTCGCTTCGTTGTCGTGCGCCACAGTCTGTTTGTATTCGAACACTCATGCTCTACCGTCGTCTCTCTCACACAACACAAGCGGTAAAATAACATTCGAGCTAAAAGAAAATTATCAAAATAGCTATCATATGACATGTGTGATTTCGTTGTAATTCCTCAATTTGGTGTAAATCAAACCATTTCTGATCAGAAATATTATTACTAGGACATCATTGCTTGCTATTTTCAGAATTCACACAAGCACACCATCAGCAGCTCTTATTATGATAAAAACTAAAATACATACATTCGTGACGGTCTTCGGCGACAGTGTCGTATGACAGAGCCTGTCATATGACATTTTAGTTTGGTACTGTACTATGAAAGCTTGTTTTGCAAGTGTAGGAGGCAAAGGCAGTCAATTATCACAGAAAATGTGTCGACTAGCGTGACCGCTTACAAGACTGCGAACGATTATTAAAAATAAACTCTGCCCTATTGGGACAAGCTTTTATTGCATATCCATTTACACAATATATACAGCTGTTATTCTACTGTTTGCGGATTTTTTTGCGTTACCTAATTTGTGTATCGCGCCTTACAGACAGACTTGACAGACGAGGAATTAATTTTTACAAAGACCTTCTCGAAAACCGAACGATCAACAGCAGAGGGATTTCCGTACATTTTAATTTATTTTCGAAGAATGAAACACAGCCTAAGTCTATGTTGCACACAAAGTTTGTCATGACAATCATCGCAAAGGTTTGGTCTATATTGATGCTTGCTCTCTGTGCTCTGATACCAATCTGTTACATTTATTTAATACGGTGAAAGTTATATAAGAACGTTGACTACATGTGAGCTTGTTAATACTTCAATATCAACTACTTTAATCCATCGCTGAAAATTCATAAAGTAGTTAATTGGTTTTAACCGATTTTTCCACTACCCACAGTGTATAATACCACCATGAATCTGGGAAACACTCGACCCAAACCAATGTCCGATAGTACGGAAAATCCCGCTTTCGAGTGCAAATGCAAGAAATGCAGCAAGTGTGCCGGCTATCAGTAGCAAAAGTAATGGCAAAGCTCCGACAAGAGTAACGCTAGAAATCACACTCGTCACCAGACAGTCCGGCTTCTTGGTAATCCACAGCTCAGTGAACCGTTTGAATGCTCCAACTTCACGAAGACGTGTGAGTCTATAAAGAGAAACGAGTTGCGTTGATGTAGTACCTACTAATAATCATCACCTACCTGATGGTAAACAACTCACGGAAGGGAGAATCCTTCCGAATCATTAGGCCAACCCGCTGAAAAGGCATGACTTCCACCTCGTTGAGGTCACACGTCTCGGTAAAATCATACGAATCACGAATTATGCTGTAGGCTACAGTTCTGTCGCAATGATAAGCATAAGTTCCATCGCGGACCAGTTTGATTCCATCCGCAGGACCAACGTGGAAATTCCCTCCAAAATATTTCTTCTCCATCATATAACGGACGTCCGAATGTTTTGATCCCTTCAATATTCAAGGAGTATCTATAATGGATATGATGAGAGGGTTACATTTTACCTACCATAAAGAATTCCTTTGCTTCAACGGTGCCATCGATGCCTACCAACATCTGACTATCGGCCAGTTGTTCAAGAGTTTTAATATTTGACATCTGCGGTCCTTGCATTAGAATTGAGAATAAACCCGAGCTGTAATAATTAAACACAACAATAGAGCAAATGAACAGTATCATTTGAGATAGGCGCCCTGGTGAGCTGCGATTGATGAATTCACATCCTTCCTGGCAAAAGTTTGCTAGTGATTCCGTAAGCATTGTGGACAATGCGTAGTTTTCATGATAATCGACATCCGGCGTCATTTGTTCTTCGGCCAGGAAGTTGATCTTTACGGCAACACTTCCCAGGATTATAGTTAGTGCAATTGCGATCCATGTTTCCATAGCAAATGGTTGTGTGAATATGTTATCCATTAAACTTCTGCTCGCTGGCGTTCTGAATATGAACATTGATCTAAGAATGAGAAAATAAGTTAGAAAATAACATCGACAGGAAAAAGATTGTGTTAACCCAACTTGTAAGCCATGAAATTCTGAATGTACGCCAGTTCATTTGTAGTTTGTTTCATTACTCCAAAAATAGATAAATCTATTTGTTTATTTAACACAGCCTCAGCATTGTCCTCAAATGTTCCATTTCCCAACGTTTGTCCAGAGAATACGAAGTCGATTCTGCAATAAATCTGATCGTACAATCTACTGATATCAGCTGAATATTTAGCCATTACTTAAATTTCATATCAGCTTCAAGTGCCTTTGTCAACATGTATCCAATACGAGCAGCTGCATCTGTTCCCGGTTTCTTATACGATTCGAAGAATTCCAAAACTTCTTCCACCGTTATATTCGGAAACGGGCAACATTGTGATACTATTCCTGCTCTCAAACCAATATCCGACAACATATTTCGATTGTGATACTTCGGCTTCGCATCTACCGTACTTTCACCCAAGGCGATACGTCCATCGTCGAAGGCAAACACCTCCCGATCGAAGGTAACATTGAGCTTTCCTCCGAGCAGGAATCCATTGTTGTACACATCATACAAACTGAAATTACCGTCGGACTCCTTTGAAAGCACCTTCAGCTCAGCGTCCACGTATAGATCAGTATATTCCAATTCCACCAATACTGAATCATTCGCATTTCGATCAAACATGACCCAGTGGGTGGAGGTGGAAAAGCATCTTTTATCGGCACACTGCAGTACACAATACAAAACAAAACTCCTCGTTAATGGCTGTTCGTCCAATACCTACTGTCAAAACAAAAATGCAAAACCTCTTGCAGCATTCGTCTGCTCGAAGGACATCCAAATTCGAAAAGCACTCCGATTCTGGTGCGATCCCTTCGGTACGCACGATGTGCCAGATCAGCAAAATGCAAATTCTCGTCGTTCAAATCAACCAGTTGAACGAATTTCGTGACTGCAGACAGATTACCCATCAAGTATCGATTATCTGTGAAAAAAGAGGGAGGCAGTCAATTGAACTATAACTGGTTGACGTGAACACAAGTCAGATGCCAACAACCTTCCAATATCCAACAGTTGAAAACGGTGACATAATTAAGTTGCATCGCAGACAAGTAGCTCACTAGTAAGTTGATAACGAAACTGGGCTCAAACAGAGTTGACATCGTGCTTGGACAGGCGGTGGTCCTCGACTTGGGGAAACCTTGCTGCTGAAAAAGAATATAAGCTAATGGGTAGGTTGTAAAGTAAATGCAAATGGGTTGAATATTGTATGAGATTTGATTGATTTTGTGACATTTGAAATTGTTACGTAGATAAACGGCTATTTGCTATGATTAGCTGTCAAGTCTTCTTCTTTTTCTTTGAATTTAATACTTATAGCTTTTCGCATATTAGCATACTGCGTGCTCTCAACTTAGCGTTCTAGATGCACTGCCACAGTTATTAATTGAGAGCTTCCTTCGATGCCTGTACCATTTTTGCATTAGTATCTATAATTGTGTGGCAAGTCAAGTACAATCATATACTCTAAGCCCAGTCGAGAAAATTTCCAACTCGAACAATTTTTAGACCGGACCGGAAATCGAACCCAGCCACCTCCAGCACGGTCTTGCTTTGTAGCTGAGCCGTTACCGACTGAGCTAAGGGAAGTCCAATAGTCAAGTCATAGCAAGCCTAATTTTTTCAGCCGACGGATGAGTAGATTGCATTTGTTACACAAGAAACATTCTATTTATTTAATTACAACAATCAGAGAAATTAATTGTGCACCTCGTTCTATAAGTGCTAGCTTTGTTTCGAGGATTTTTTAGATTATCGTGATGTTTAGTTCCGTTAAATTGTAGAAAAATAATGGCAGGTAGTGTTCGTGGGTGTTGTGCAGTTTTTGGCAAGGCAAAGATAGTACAGTTTACCGTAGAACGCAGCAATCCACCCCTCCGAAAATTGCAAAACCCACCACCAGATGGACGAACAACTGCCTGTTGGGAGGCCATGAGGGTTGGCGATTGACGAATCCAACTTAAACTAATGCGCGCCTGGTGACAGGAATAAACACTATCCGACGGTGATCAGCTAGTGACAGCCCTTGGAAATTTCATTATTTTTATGAAAATTTGTTAAATTACAGTGCTAGTTCGTGTAAATATGCTATTAAAATGAATGAATCTTGTTCAAAACCTAAAAAACTATTGTGATAAGTGTCGATCCCAAAATAAAAATTACTAGTTTTCAAATAAAATTGAAAAAACATGATGAAGTTATGGGCATGGTTATGTTAACAGCCATACCACATCGATTAATGTTGATATGGAGACGTAACCAACAACAACGTGCTGGTATATGATTTGGCGGATATGATTTGCAACCATCGTTTGAAGCATGCAGGAATTTCGTTGTTTTATCATGTTTGTTCTACGATTTTTATTTTATTTCAATGCTATTTCAATAATTTAGCACTTAAATATCTAATTCTACTTACCAGAGAGATTCTACTTATGCCAGAGAAGAAAGAGTTTCCGCTCGGTTATATGTATGGTGATCAGGCAAACTACCCGTAAAAAAAAGAACCACAGAGGTACAATGAAATGTATTGTAACCATACAATATAATTTATTGCATTTACAATAAATCGTACTGTCCACAACGATAAAATAACCATAGGATTTATTGTTTCCACAGTAGTATCTATGGTAAATTTGATAATCTAAAATAGGACAAGGGGGTTGTTATGTATCTTAAGCATAAAAAAAATCTCTTTTTCTGGAACAAACTTGAGCCATTTATCATTAATTTTATTGTTTTTCTTTTGTTGAAAATTCATACTATATGGTACGTATCGTACATCTATTGTAATAACAATATTTTAAATTTACTTGTATGATATACATACAATAGGACCGATTGTTCGAAAAAGATTTTGTTGTGAATGCATAATATTTTAGCGTATTTTTTTTTCCGGGTATCCAATGCCGTCTACGACACAGGCACTTTTGGTACTGCCTTTGTTGTCCCGCTCGTCTGAATCTACCAAACCAGGCGTGATAACCTCCTAATGGTTTCGCAGCGGATTCAGCTATAAGAAAGATGATGTTCCTGCGGATGGAACAATATATTGTTTTGATTGCTTCAATATGTAAAATTGTTCTAACAACTCACCTCAAACAGCAAAATTAATTGATTTAATTCAATTTCCGATGGGATGATCCTTGAGTATTGCATTCTCAGTTTAAATACTGTAAGAAAATTGTTAACATTATTTGTTTATGTTTTGCTGGGAGCAACCTATTTTTCATTTTGAAGAAATCTCATTGATTTTGCATTTAAAAATAAGGATTTACTTACCATTCTTACCAGCGCTACTTTTCTGTTCATATTTGCTTTCTGTTATTGAATAAAGCAATTATAATAACACGTAAAACATAGGTTTCTTATCACAAACTTGAAAATATATGCAGTTTGACAGATGATCTCAAGTTCATCACCGCTACGATTACAGCGCCGCGGTGGCCGGCATAAACTTGGATTTGTCAATTGACAAATCCCAGTTTATGCTGGCCACCGCGGCGCTGTAATCGCAGCGGTGATAAGTCCAATAATGTCCCGAAAAAAATAATTATAATAAAACAATGAAATTACAATGATTATTACTGGTGAATTTCGAGTACATTAAAATTTATTGTTAAATTCTCGGTTAAATTGAAGTACGGGAGAAAAAGTTCATTTCTATTTTTATCGATACAATCATACAATGTTCAAACCATGAAAATTAGTGTTATGTGATCAAATTGATCAAACTGTAAATTTCTCAAATACCACGATTGTCATTGTTGTGAACCATGAATTTCGTTGTGATTTTATGGTAATCGACAAAAATGTCCAATGTTTTGACTGTAAATATCATGGTTACAATGACAATGAAAATCATTGCTTTTTGATTGGATTTTTTTTACGGGTTGATCAACATAGATTTTCACGCCTGATTGTATTGGTGCGATGTGTGAAACTGTGGTAGTTAAAATTCGAAGAAAATACATTACAAACCGCTGTCAAACTCATTTTGACAGATCGAATTACACACATAAATGCAGGTTAGCCCGGGAAAAATAATAAACAACCACAGCATAGTTCTGTCAAAACCTTAGTATTTTCATTGATCCATTGACAGATTCTCTTCGTCAACTTTCTCTTTGTATCCTCACGGCCATATTAAGAAATTCCCAGCTATTTTAGGCACACCGATCGATGAAATAAGCTATTATATCTAATATGACAACACGAAAAGAAACGGTTCTCTACCCAAGTTATCAACGATAATTAAGCTGATGAAGAGAATGTTACTTAGGACCTAATGCATTGTTCGGCTTGAATTGGGTTATGGTGATTCCCTGGTAGCGTCCCTTTTCTTGTTACACATCGTAATTGTTGAATTTACGACCAGCAGATGGAAATGATGTGAAAAAGATAGTGACGTTTTGCAACACGACTCATAAACAATGAACAGTGACGTTTTGCAAACCCGCATAAACAATAACCAATAAAAGCGCCTAGACACCACTTCGGGTATAATCTCAACTGTATGTGAAATGGTTGTACCATCTATGATATCGTTAGTGTATGGTACCTGTTTATTAGGGAACACTTTGCAGATCATCCAAACAGGGACTGTATTAAAAGTGAATCCAAGTTGGAGCTTACCGCATTTGTATTGAGGTAATTGCATTGCAATGACGTTTATATAAGGTGTGCGCCAAAGGGCTTATTGAGATTTTCACGTCCGGTTGTATTGGTGCGATATGTGAGAGCGTGTTAGTGGAAATCCGAGGAAAATACATAGCAAATCGAAGTCAAACTCATTTTAACAGATCTAATTTCATACATTTTTAGGTTAGCCAGAGGAAAATAATTAACAACTTTACACGGTGATAGACTCCCGTTAGTGTGTGTGCGTTAAACGTCACTAATCTCTATTAGGGTTAATGAATTGAGCAAATGTTTAGTGGTGTTTGTATTTCATTGCAATGTTTATCTTTTTATTATGTCCCGCTAAATTGAGGAAACATTATACCCCTCATACCCCTTCCGTGACGTTTTTCCTATACCTAATGTATTGCTTGTCACAAAATCATAATCCCCCTCCCCCTTAGAGCGTGACATAATATGTGCATCACCCCTTACACGAAACAGCTGTTGGCAGTGACGTGTCTATTTGTTCGTAGTAAAGAGCCTAAATTTATAAAAAGGGGACATGTCAAAATTGGAACAATCGATTGTCTGTCAAAGTCATAGGAAAAGTCATTCCAATCGAGCAGAAGAGCTGTCAAATGGATAAGGTGTCGTCTCTTTATAAATTCAGGCTCTTTAGTTCGTAGTACCTACAGCCGCTCTGAAAGCAAAATTTACAGGTTTAATGTGTCAAATACTTGCCTCTAAACCTGTTCTTGTATCTTAAAAGTACAAAATATCATTACAACATCTAATGATTTAAAAATTTCGAAAATAATGTTTTTATAGCAAGTGAGTGGAAGCAACCCTGCCTACAGCAATGTTACAATATTAAATATTTTGCTTCTAAAGGCCGGCGCACAATAGATACGTTTTCGGGTTTTTTGACAGTTAGCCCATGCATTATCTGTCAAAAAACCCGAAAACGTATCTATTGTGCGCCGGCCTTAAAACCAGCAAGCTGCATGTTGCCACATACCTTAGAGCAACCGTACCAGTCGTTGCCATTTGCGGCACTATTTTACTTACGCACAGCGTTTCCATTTTGGCTTAATCACTCCTCTCCACACCGGTCGTTGCTATCAGAGTCATAATTTAAGTAACTGTTTTCCACACCGGCAAAACCGAGGGCAAAACAATCTTTTGACGTTTATTCAAAATAGCAACCGTCTGATGCGTTGCTACCGGGTTGCTAAATTTATGAACTCACTACTTTCCAAGGTGCGGATTGCTATTTCCCCCCCCCTGAATAGCAACCCCCGGTACGCAAGTAGCGTTGTGGTAGAGGTTGGTAAATGTGCCTTATTTCTCATTGACGAGTGCACGGATGGATTTGAGTTCACTCACTCGCCAAAAAGTGACACAACAGCGGGCCCTGTTTACTAAAAATGAGCACATATGTGTTCATTTTTAGTAAACAGGGCCCCGCTGTTGTGTCACT